GAGCCTGCAGCGGCGCGCGGGAGGCCCGGAGCCCGCCCGGCCGCGGGGCCTGGGCAGCGCGCAGGGAAAAGCGAAAGCAGCAATCTGCAGACCCGAGCCTGGAAATCGGGGCGCCGCCCGGCTGCCCCCTCTGCGGACAACACTGCGTAGAGGTCCCCCTACAGGGAGAGGAGCGGTCGCCCCCAAAGCACGCGGAGTTCGCAGTCAGAAAGTGCCCACTCCTTTCTCCTCACTCCGTGCGATGGCTTTTGGAGAGGGAGGAAGAAGGTGTATTTCCCCGTTAGTAATCTGACGCTATGGTGGCCAAAAGCCCACCACCGTGACTTTCGAAAATGTAGAGTTTGCCCTAGGCAGTATCCTGAAAGTTAGGACACACCAAAAAGTAGTGGGTTCTTGGTGCTCTTAGAGCTAAGGGAAAGAAAGGGTTAAAGAAACAGGGCAGAAGCAGTCCTAACTACAGTTCTCTGTGTGCAGAGTTTCTCTGGATGTCTAGGCCTCCAAAGTTAAAAAGGATGGAGCTGGGCCTGTTGCGGGGCGTAGAGCACCCTGGCAGAGCACTGGCCTAGCAAGCTGGCCTACAAAAGGGCCGGTGGGTTCCTTGCAGGGCCAAATAACAACAATAACAATAAATAATTTTAGAGTAAGTACCAAAGTGATGTGCTGCTAAGGAAGAGAAACTTCAGAAAGAACCCAGGAGACAAGGCTTAAGGAGAGGTGATGTATTGACTTCAGCTATCTGTCCTCAGAATCATCTACAGAGAACAAGATTAAACTAGAATTTAGAGTCAGGCCAGGTGGCTCACACCTGTAATCCCAGCAGTCTGTAACCCCAGCAAGAAGATATCAAATTCTAGCCCAACCTGACAAATTCAGCGATTTAGCAAGGCCTGCTTTACAATTAAAAAACAAGGGGCTGGGGACTTAGCTCAGTGGCAAAGCGCCTACCTGGCAAGCGCAAGGTCATGAGTTCGGTTCCCGGTACCGGAGAAAAACCAAAACAGAAATTAAAAAGTTAAATTAAATTAAAAAACAAAAACAAGGCCTGGGGATGTAGCTCAGTGTGAAGGCCTTTTTTTTTCACTCCCCGTACCAAGTGGGTAAAACTAGAATTTAGTACTTCACAATTTTGGGCATTTTTTTCCCCCATTTGTTAACCTCATCCTCATGACAGTTCTGAAGTGGATGAGGCTGCGACCATGCTCCCTTTTACGAGTGAGGAAACGGGTTTGAAGTAGCAGGTGGAGAACTTGCCTCCAGTCACATAGATAGGACGTGGAGAGCCAGGCCTTAACTGTCTCTCCTGACACGCGCTTGAATTCTTCACACTGTTCCGCTTCGGTGAGAATTACATCAGAAAGGGAGCAAATTCAATCTCAGTGTACTGTGCATATGTTTGTTGTAAAGAGCTTTTACGTTTTACAGAGGCATACTAAAATATTTATAGTTGAAATGAAACTAAATAAAATGATAGGATGGGTAAATTTACTTCAAAATACTCCAGTGGTGGAGAAAAGGGTCAAATGGGCGGAAGTAGAGAAGAAAAAATAACTTTGGGACTGATCATTGCTGAAGATGAGGGAGAAGTCACGTGGTCTACTGTACTATTCTCTCTGTATATAATTTCCCATAATGAAAAGAAAAACACAATTTGCGACTGTATGACCTTTATCAGACATGCAGTACCTCCTTTCCTAAGTGAGTTCTGAGTTTGTGTCAGCTTCTGACTAAAAATCAAGCATCTCACACATCCCCGGGCAGTCTCCTTCCCACACACGCTCCTTCCTGTCCCTCTGCACCCATTTCTTCCTTGCTGGTCCGCTGAGGTACTACCTGGCAAGTCACTGCAACCTACCTCAGTTCCAAAGAGAACAAAACGATGAACCTAAGAAAACAGTGCCTCCTCGTTGTGTTCATCCATTTCCTGTCTACTTATTGCCTGGTATTGAGCAGGCTTTGAGGTGGCGATGGTGTGTTAGGAATTTTCTGTTGGGAATATTCGGCCATGAATTGCTGCACTAGTCAGGCAGAGTACCCTGGGAGCTCTTACAGATGTTTAATTGATGCAGGCAAATCCCATTTTACCAACTCTTCTGATAGTTAACAAAACGGGACAGGAAGGCTACAGATACACATTCAAGATCGAGGCAGTGTTAGGTGGAGAATAAGATGGTGCAGAAATGCGTGGTCAGCTTCTGGGAAGAAAGAGCAAACCAGAACTGACATTAGTCATTACAGCAAACACCAAACAAACTCCACATGGATTAGAAAGTTAAATAAAAAAAAAAATTATAAGGAGAAAATTAAATTAGTAGTTATTTAATTTTGGCGTGAGGAAACAGAAAAGGCACAGAAGATTGATATATTGATACATATGACTTCCTAAAATGTAAGGTTTCTGCAGTCAAAGAAAAAAATGAAGACAGCACTCTGTAATGTGGGGTGTTGGAATATACCAATCAGCCTTAATTTTAAAGTTTTTGTGGATCACTGGGGCAGGCAGTCCTCCACATGTAGGCCATAAGAAAACTGGGGTTAAGTTTTTGAATAGAAAATTCACCACTCATGAACAATAAGAAAAATATGTTAATTTATATATAAAAGTTGTATTCCTACACATCGGTGACACCTTCATAGGACAATATATAAAAAGTATTATTATAAATCATAACGGCAAAAAGCAGTTTCCAAATAAGCTAAAGATATAAAAGACAAGTCACATAAGGAGAAATACCAACAAACCTAGTATAACTTTTAGTACATGTGCTGACGGAGCAAGCACAACCTAGTAAAGCTTTCAAAGATGATCAACTTCACCACTAATGAAGGAAATACAGATTAAAGCCCAGATGAGATACCATTTCATTCCCCTCAAATTAAACCAAAATTTAGTTTTATTATACCAATTATCTGCTGGGATGTAAGTAACCAGAGTACTGTTTGTACCAAACTGGTGAGAGTATAAATCGGAAAAATCACTTCAGAGTGCAATATGGCAATATCTAGTAAAGCTGAAATGTGTCTACACAAAGACCCTGTACCTTCATTTAAGAGATATTACTTGAGAAATGTATATGCCCATAAGGACATCTATAAAAGAAGCTTAGGGGCTGGGGATTTAGCTCAGCGGCAAAAGCGCTTGCCTGGCAAGCGCAAGGTCGTGAGTTCGGTTCCCGGTACCGGAGAAAAACTAAAAA